CCCCACATGCTTATCCTGTAATGTATAAATGTATCTTTTTTTCTCTCTTCAAAGTGGAACAGGCTAGAAACTAGCAGTTGTGAAGAACAGAAGCAGGACCCATTGGAGTAGCCCCCGTTATAAGCAGTTCTTGAAATCACCTCTGTGACATTTTCATACACGTGGATGTGTTGGACAAATGAAAAATGCTTTTAGTTTATATGAAAAATAGCAAAATCCAGAGGTTTTTAGGTGTCAAACTTCATTTTTTAGAAGTGTTAATGATGTATTTGATACTATTAAAAAGGATGTACCTGCCATAAAAGAACATTCAACTATTTAACTGGAATGGTTGGGGAAGAATTGATCAAAGAGGTGCTGTTCTGTATGGGTGTCTATATCCTTATTCCAAGGTGAATAAATAAAATTGTATTTGCCTAAACTTGGTCCTGGTCAGTCTATTCACCACACTGGGGAAATTGAGTCAGAATTTTTTTTCAGATGGAGTCACAATGTATTTTCCCATCACCCTCTCCATCCACTTAGGGTACAGGGAAGAATCAAAGTAATTACATACTTTGCTTTTTGGAAATTTCAGTTTCAAATAATATTTGTTGAAAATACTTCAAGATTGTTCATGGGAAGTCTGAGAACTTCTTAAGATCAATATAACTTCCTACAATAAAAATACTGTATAATATTTGAATGGGAGAAAAATGGTGGATAAGAAGGAATAGCTACTGTAGTTTCTCATGCTAATTCTTTGGTGTTGGAGTTCTGTACTTCAACATCAAGAAAGAGATAAGTGAAATGTCACACTGTACCCCATAAATATGTACAATTATACATCAATTAAAAAATATTTTAAAAGGAGAGACAAGTTCCACCTAGGGAATATGAGACAGTGGGAGATCACGGGGCTGCGGGTTCACTTCAATAAATCAGTGGCAACCAGAGCCCTTTTCAAGGCCTAATGCAAGGCCCAGCACCCAGTTAGCACTCAATAAATATTAATTGTAAATACCACTGTGTGTCTGCAGCTAGAATAATGTGGTGCCAGTTTCCCCAGAAATGAACAAATTGGCTAGAGGAACAGAAAGCACAAGGGAAATGATTTAACCAGCTGGAGGAATGGAATGGAAGAGGAAGATTAAACCATACCTAGCTTGATCAGACAGTGATAAAGTGGAAGTGTGACCACTATTTGCAAATATCAGAGGACATAAACGCCAAAGGAATGAGGCTGCTGTTCACTTTACTATGTGGCAGTTAACTAACTACTGTTGCTCTTCAATTATTACAGTTCTCTTTTATTTATTTGTGTAGGATGCCACTAACCAGACATTAGAAATTATTTTGAGAGTCTAAGCATCTAACAGCTCAGAGAGAATTCAGTGACAGGTGAGACTTCATTCATGGTTTCAATTCTGAGCACTTACAGTTCTTTTAGATCTTGTGTCTGTCTTCTCACTGTCCTGTTAACCTTGAGTTCCCCTCACTTTCTTTAGGCCTCCCATCTCCTCTACTTTATTTACTCTATAAACAGCAGATTATTTTTTGTATTTACAACAATCTCCCTTGTTTTATCTTAGTACTTTATACATCATATCATAACTGCTGTCTTCCTAAAATACAGTGAAGGCACTTCTGTGCAGCTTTTCTGAAACCCAGAGCAGCAGACCTGCTCACCCTGGTTCTCTCTGAACTGTTATGAATGAAGGTTCTACTCCACTTCCTCCAAGCACATCAGCATAACCACCAAACCACTAAGAGAAATTGGGGGTGATAACACAACGCTTTGAGAGTGAAGGAAAAGGAGTTCTTAGTCCACATAAATGTTAGGTGTTGGGAGCTGACGATGAGCAGCATATGACCAGCATAATGCTTGCTTTATATATTCAGCTCCAGCAAAATAGTAGCATATACTCTCTTTAATATGGAGTCATTTTCAAATTCCTTGGAGATGATACCATCTCTCTAGGCAATCTCTGCTTTCCATTTCCTTTTGCAATTACTATTATTGCTGTTTAAATGATTCCCGGAAGTTCATCACAACACTGCGTCACAGGCTTCTGGGCTTGCGAACAAAAGAAGTTTCTCTTTTCTTCAAAAACTAACAAAACTGGGCAACCATATAGCTCAGTAGTAGGGTGCTTACCTAGCATGCATGAGGCCCTGAATTTGATTTACAGCACCGCAAACAAACAAAATCCCTAATGAAACAGTGCTGTGGCACAGTGGAGCAAGTATAGACAACAGTTATGTACTCTGTATTTCAAAAGAGGCCAGAGCTAGAAGAAAAGATTTTGAATGGTTTCACCATAAAGAAGTAAACATGTTTGCTCAGATAGATGGTTAACCTAATTTAAACATTACACACTGTATCCATGTATCAAAAAATTTCATGGTAGTTATAATTTTTGTATTTTTATGTATCAGTACAAAGAAGCAATTTAATTTTAAAAATGAACAGAACAACAAAATAGCCCTTCAACATTGAGGACCCCCTCAGGCTTAAGGAAAAGTTTAATGTTGATTAGTGCCTTCCAAATGCTGCTCCACTTAGTTGTTTTAAAATTACCTGGCTAGGCATGGTGATGCATACCTGTAATCCCAGTAGTCAGGAGGCTGAGGCAGGAGCATAGTGAGTTTAAGGCCAGCCTGGGCTATACAGGGAGACTTTGTCTCAAGAAAACAGAAAAAAGTAAACAAAATTACCTGGGATATCTATTCAGAACAGACATGCCACACTGCTGACCTATAATGTCAGATTCTCTAGGGAGAAGCTTGTGGACAAAATCTGCGAACAAGTTTGGGGCTTATATTTCACTGGTAGAGAAACATAAGTAATTCAATAACTATGTAGTTATTGATAAGTGGAAAACAGAAACATAGAGAAGAAGGATAAAGGAACAAGCAGTGGTGGGGTTGCAGGTGATGCTGTATTAATTTGGGTGGCCGGGAAGGCCCACTCCAAGGCAGTGATATTAAAGAAGAAACCTGAATGATATGGAATCAGCCATGTGAACATCTGAGAGAGTGGGCTGGGCAGAGGGATGGGATGAGCTGGAGGGCTGGGGAGCTCCTGAGGAGGGCGGGCATGAGGAAGATGATGGTAGAGATGAGGTCAGGCTACACAGCCTACAAGCTCTGCCTGGCCTCATGGGCCAGTCAGACATTTTTGTTGTCCTCAAAGCAAGGTGGGCAGCCACGTTTAGGCATTTCTGATGGTGCGGTGGGAAAATCCTGTTTATTCTCGTGCTTACAGGAGACTTAAACATACCTGACTGAAGGGTTGGGGCAGGCAATGGTCAGCAGAGAGCGGAAGGCAGGGACTGCAAAGCTTTCTGAATCAGTTTTGTTCAAGCTTATTTACTGGGAGCTCTGAATTTGTTTCAGAGAAGGCCTGCAGGAGAAGCAACACAAGAATGAGGGCAAGGAGGTGCAAGGGAAAGAGGATGTGAAAGACACAACAGGCCTGTCCAAGGTGACTTCATGAGGGGAGGCACAGATGTCAGCACCAACATGATGCACCTGGGAAGAAAGTCATGCCTGAATTCTGCTGACACAGAAGAAAAAATGTAGTGACTTTTTACAGAGGAAAGGGGAGTTGATTGAGGATGGCTTGACTGTGTACTTGTGTGCAATAAGTAAATAAATAATTGATTCTTTGCTCACTTGAAAATAGGGTCAATGTCATGCTTGAAATAGAGAAAGCCTTTCATATTCCTAATTAAACTTGCTGTGAACTCTTTTTTTTTAAGATTGTGTGTACTGCTATTTAAAACCTTGTAAAGGTGTGATGAAGGATAGAGTTGCAAAGAACCAACAGCAGCCTTTTACAGTTCCACTTATTACAATTGTATATTTTGCTGACAAAGTCACAGACAGAGTAAAGCAAGTGCAAACCACCCATTTCAATGGCAAGCAACACATTCTTTCTTC